CCCCAAAACCCCAAAACCCCAAAACCCCAAAACCCCAGTTCGATTATAATTTATTGTACCAATATTTAAAAATAAATAAATGGACAACAGCCAAGAAGAAAGGAAAAAGAAACTCTCTTGAAAAGAAGCTGTAAAGACTCAGCAATTATGGGGAATGATTCTCTTTCCAAGTTTTTGCTGCCTCTTGATAATGTACCTTGTGATTGGAGTATTACTTATCTTATTTGGAAGCATTATGTTAGCCAATGCACTCAATATCAATGATATTGAAATTAGGTATGATGACAAATGAGGGAACAATCCAACTTGTACAGTAACTTTTACTCCTTCTGAAACCCTCAAAGAGCCAAAATTGTACTATAAAATTGATAATTTTTATGCTAATCACAGAAATTTTGTGAAAAGTATAAGTTATCAGCAACTGCGTGCAGACACTTCTTCAAGTTCTAGTTGCTCCCCTGTTACCAAAAATAAAGATATCAGTACTCCTTTAACAGCAGTAGATGGAACTACAACTCTTGATCCAGATAAAGATGTTAATCCTTGTGGATTAAGAGCTAAATATTACTTCACAGATACATTTACCCTTTCAACAACTTCTGGGTCTTCTATTACTATTGATCAGACTAAAATTTCTCACTCAGTTGATCGTAACAGTAGGTTTAAAAACTCAAAGAATTACATGACCGAGCAGTGGAAAGACAAGGAGAGTGAGCACTTAATGGTTTGGTACCAGACAGATGCTTTCCCTAATTTCATTAAGCTCTGGGGATCCATTAAACAAGATCTTGTTGCTGGCACAAGCTATCAAATTACGATTTCAAATACCTATATAAACAGTGACATAGATTCTAAATCAATCTATATCTCTGAGACAAACTTCTTTGGAGGAAATAACCTTACATTCGGCCTGCTTTATCTCATCGGAGGAATTGTCTTCATCCTCTTAGCAGTAGTAATGGTGATCCTGGAGGTATTTATCGGCCACAGAAAAGAGAAAACGAAGGTGTCTAGCAGTAACAGAAATCATTAATAATAACAGTCTTGTTCAACCCTTGCCTCTCTTCTATATTCTGGCTTAAATTATGTGTAGAGTAAACCACCATTTAGATTCAAGAAATTTATTTAGGATTAATAGTAAAAATCTGATTTTAGAAAGCTCAGTTTTTTAAAAGCTATTGAATTCTTCAATTATTCATTCGAACATAGGGGTTTTGGGGTTTTGGGGTTTTGGGGTTTTGGGGTTTTGGGGTTTTGGGG